TCTCGCTTACGCCAGTTAATAGGACAGCTCCCACTTTTCTAACACCTTCAAACACTGTTTCTGCTTTACCTTTGCTACTGAACATGCCAATGTATTGTTGTAATAATGAACTGTGGTTTCCTCAATCTATGCAGAATTCTATTTATTGATAATGTACTAACTGGATGCAATACTGTAGTAAAAATGCTGAGAATTCCATTCTGTATCACAAGTACTGTTTTGGAATAAAGCAAATTATTATTATTATTAAAAATCATTAGTGGATCAAATGGCGTATGCAGCTGTTGTTGTTTGGTCATGGGAATGTAATTCTTGACGCTACTCCACTGATTTGTTATATCAAACTTCACTTCAAAGGCTCAGAGGTTGGTGTCCAACCACCTGCTGCTTCAGTCTGGCCATCCGGACGATATCCTAGCCGTATAATAAAATATGGGATTTTATGCGGCACGTTTTAAATGAAGTATTGTTATTGAACACTGTCCTATGACGAATGCCAAGGAAGCCTTATTAGTTCTCACTTTATATGATCTAAGTATTTTCTGTTTAAAAAAAGAAATGAAAGGGTGAACAACCCGATTCTATCCTTTAAATCACGAGAATTGCTACTTAAACGATCATCTAGATAAATTAGAAAATTCTCGGTATGGACTGACTGTTAAGACAAACCAATGATTATATCACTAGGACTAATTATATCACTGGGAAGTACCATCAGCCCCAACGGGTTGATCTCTGACGAAATCTCAGCACAAATACAGAGAGCTAGTTTCGCACATATGTCAGTTTACGCCGTCTCTGGCTTAGTAGACGTGACATCCAGCTGGCTATCAACCAAAGGGCGTGTGTACTGCTCAACAGTCCGCTGCGTCCTCCTTTATGGCTGTGTGACCTGGCCATTGAGAGCGGAAGACATGAAAAGATTAGCTGTCTTTGATAGTAGGTGCCTGCCTTCTATCTCCCATGTGAAGTGGTATAATAAGGTGAGCAATATTGAGGTTAGGCGTCGAGTGCTAGGTAAGGAGGGGAAATCGACAGACGAGGCTGTGAAATTACATCGACTGAGATGGTTAGGACATGTGTTACGTATGCCTAGTCATCGCCTTCCTCGACAATGGGCAATGTTAGCTGATATAGGGTCAGGCTGGAAAAGAGCTAGTGGCGATCAAACCAAAACATGGCACCAGTCAATGAAATCTACAACAGTTAGTCTAAGACATGTAGGAAGGTGTAAACTTCCTGGTTGGGTTCCTCGGGACGGTAAAAACCAATGGTTGGAAACAATTGGTCACATGGCTGAAAATCGTCCTCAGTGGCGCAGATGCATCCACTCCTTGTGACTTATGATTTCCAATGAAACTGTTTCGTTCTTCGTTATTACTATTCCTTTGTCTCACACCTCTGTTTACTGTCTATATTATGCATTTCTCCTACTTTCTTCTCTTGCTTTGTGTGTTGAGTGAAGTGTGGCGACTTGAACTGCCGCACATATGTGCAAAGTTCTATGTCGAAAACCGACCGACTGATATCACTAGGAAAGAGATTCACGAATATTAGACTTTTTACCAAACAGCGCGATAAGCGAACAAGGAGAATTGGCCATGATGTTAGATGGTAAAATACAACAAATAGAAGAACGCAGACTAAATACTAGCGTTTAAAAAAGTCAACGCATTCTAATAGATATTTGGACTTCTTTAATTCATCTCATCTGTTATCCATCTGTGAAGGCAGGCTTAGTTAAGTGTCTAACAAACCGAGCAGTAACACTGAGTAGTACAACAAGAAAACCTAAACGATTAAATGAAACAGATAGAAGAATAGCTGGTTGGTGTTAAATAACTGTCCTATAAGATTCATTAGGTGGATGAGAAAAGGTCAAAAGCAGAATAAAAATGGTGAAATTAATAATTGAGAAGAATAAGAAGTTCAGCAAAGATATCTTTTCGGCGATTTCATTTTCAAAAGCTGTACAATCGCATTTAAATACATAATTTCACATGGAGACGATTCTTGTTTAATTCTACATAATTATGACGGCGAATAAAAGGTGATAATTATTTCAAACTAGATATGGTTTTACGAAACAAAATTACGCAGGATTAGAACGCATATCGTGTGTACTCCCAGGTTTTCCAATGGTTCTCTCACTGATGTCAGCTCATGATGAAAATCCAATAAGTGATGACAGTTCGAATAGCATCTCCCCTACATATTACTGATGAGTTTAAACAACTGAGTAGTATTGTAACAACAGAAGACAAGGGCCAGGCAACAGATCGTTTATTACGAAAAATCAACACGTATTTATAGATTTTTATGTACATTATTGTAGGTCAATATTAGTAGAAAATACAGTCTGTTGATTGGTTGTTTCTCACACAAAGTTAACCTTGCATCTCTGGTGGCTGTGTCAATTCATCTATATGTTAACTGTAACCGCCTGTCCACCTTGACCTTTGACCTCAATTACTGTCAACCAATTTGGCCAGCAACCATCTCTCACAACAACATGACTAATATTTGATACATAAACATTGACCTCAATTACTGTCCACCACTTGGCTAGTAGACCGCTCTCACCACACTCGTCCCCCCGTCAAATAGTTTGGACTGAAGTCGGCTCGGTCTTCTCGGTTCTTGGGGCTTTGCTCTGTTGTCTTGCTGTCTGGAATCTCGGCGCTTGCGGATGTCCACTTGTTTAACGGCGTTTACCCTTGCGATTGTGTCTGCGTAACCCCATCTCAACGTGACCATATGTGGTCCTTCCCACTTTGGAAACTGTTTGCCTGACCCTGTCGCACATTCGTAGGTATTTCGCCTCACACTTCCATATGCTGCTTTCTCCCGACCTAGCAGCAGCGTCCCAAGTAGCAGCCTTATAGCTGACAGATCTTGAACGCCACTCAACTGCGAATAAGCTTCAAAGTCCTGCCCGAAGATCCATATGTCTTCATCAAAAACTGCAGGGCATAGGCTTTCCATTTGTCGGTAGGCAGCGACGCCAAATGTAACAACAGAAGACAAGGGCCAGGCAACAGATCGTTTATTACGAAAAATCAACACGTATTTATAGATTTTTATGTACATTATTGTAGGTCAATATTAGTAGAAAATACAGTCTGTTGATTGGTTGTTTCTCACACAAAGTTAATCTTGCATCTCTGGTGGCTGTGTCAATTCATCTATATGTTAACTGTAACCGCCTGTCCACCTTGACCTTTGACCTCAATTACTGTCAACCAATTTGGCCAGCAACCATCTCTCACAACAACATGACTAATATTTGATACATAAACATTGACCTCAATTACTGTCCACCACTTGGCTAGTAGACCGCTCTCACCACAGTATGTATTATTTCAAAAGGATTGCAAAAAGATTTGTAGCTAAGGTGGGTGCCACTTTTTGAATTCTTTAAGCCAAGTTAGTTTAACTGAGAAGCTTTCACATTCTCTTTTTGAACAGTATCTTCAGCACCGATGTCTTCATAAAAGTCAGTGAAGAATCCCAGAAACTCACTTCGCAGTGAAGATGTTTTCCAGAAGGAGAATAAAAGCTTTCATAGTGTCTATTAGAACTTTTTACAAATTCAAGATTTGGCCTAGACCACAAGGTCACCTAGCTGAGTGGTCATTACAGGATGACCTCATAATCTGATGGTCTTCAATGTGATCCCTGCTGGAGTCATAAGTGCATATTAGTTAATGAGATATATCTTCTATCTAATAACAATTTTACGCATACTTTGATTGAACACTAGTCAGTAACTAATGTAATGTGTGTCTAAGTCTTCCCTTTGATGCAGACTAGATTCTGTCAGTCAAGTTTGCAATGTGGCCACCATGTCACTCAGTGGCTCGACATCACGATGCACTATACTGTGAATTGTTGATACTAGATGGTTGGAGGCAATCGGCCACAGGAAGCCTTGCTTCACCTAAGTTTCGTGCTAGTTGGTAGTCATCAGTCAGCAAGGCGTATCTGCAACCAATTCGAAGGAACTTATTTCTCTTCTGAGATTCTAATCCGCATCATCCACTGCTGCAGTCAAAGACGTTACCACTTAGGAGTTATTCGGGAGGCTCGCGATTGACTTCCTGTAAGACTGACTTTATTGGAGACGAGTCAGTAAATAGTGTTGTGGTGAGAGCTGGCTGCTAGCCAAAGTTGGTAGACAGTAATTGACGTCAATGTTTATGTCCCCAATATTGGTGGTGAGAAAATGAGAACAAAGGCTTTGCGTAGGCGGATACAGTTAGCATATGGATGATCTGTTGTCTGGCCCTTGTCTTCTGTTGTTACATTTGGTGTCGCTGCCTACCGACAAATGGAAGCCCTATGCCCTGCAGTTTTTGATGGAGACATATGGATCTTCGGGCAGGACTTCGAGGCTTCTTCGCAGTTGAGTGGCGTTCAAGATCTGTCAGCGATGAGGCTGCCACTTGGGACGCTGCTGGGAGGTCGGGAGAAAGCAGCATATGAAAGTGTGAGGCAAAATACCTACGAATGTGCGACAGGGTCAGGCAAACAGTTTCCAAAGTGAGAAGGACCACATATGGTCACGTTGAGATGGGGTTACGCAGACACTATCGCAATGGTAAACACAGAGAAACAGGTGAACCTCCGCAAGCGCCGAGATTCCAGACAGCAAGACAAAAGAGCAAAGCCCCAAGAACCGAGAAGACCGAACCAACTTCAGTCGCAAGTCTTTAATGGGGGGACGAGTGTGGTGAGAGCTGGCTGCTAGCCAGAGTTGGTAGACAGTAATTGACGTCAATGTTTATGTCCCCAATATCGGTGGTGAGAAAATGAGAACAAAGGCTTTGCGTAGGCGGATACAGTTAGCATATGGATGATCTGTTGTCTGGCCCTTGTCTTCTGTTGTTACAGTGTAATGTGTCTTTAGCCCTATATCTTTGGTGCACACTGACAAGACAAAAATCCACACATCATGATATACAAATTTTTCTTGTAAACGAAACAAAAAAACAAACAGATAAAACTGGACTATTTTTATTTATTCATTGTTCAATAATAAAATTGAAAATTGTCAATGCTTCACAATTAAACAAGACCCGTTTGCGTATTCTCCTGACTTACTCATCACTTTTGAAAGCAAGTGTTAAACGATAACACCAAAACAAATGCACATATGAAAGATTCTACGAATGTTACTGTACTGTTTCACACACAGAGAGTAAAAGTAAACAAGAAGAAGCAGAAGAGGAAAGGAGGCAAAGATGATGCGGGCAAAACAGGCGATAGAAACAAGAAGCAAAGCGTATAAAAATAGCGATGATAAGGTATTGATTGTTCTCTCCTCTTTCTGACTACTACTACTGATTCACTCATTGTACGGTTGACATTTTTCTTTCATTTATCCTTGATTCAATGCAATGCTTTCCAATGATTTGATAAGTGTTTGACGAGCTAAACGTGGAGTTAAGCAAATTGTGAGACAATAGAAAAAACAAAACAAAAACAACAAACAAATCGGATCATATAAAGAAACAGCAGATAAATATTCAAATGAACTGTCGTCAAGATTTGACAGAATAGTTCTAAAATCTCAGCGAGATTGAAATGAGTAATTCCAACGTTTCGTTCGGCAATCTGCTCCGAACTTCTTCAGGGAAATTAATCGAAATTAACATAACAGAGGTTTATGTATAAAAGGAAACATCACTTGTTTTTAAAAACTTTGTCCAATCATGAGTCATTCAACAAGTATCAACAAGTATAATAAACAAAAGTTTATGAGCTGTGATCAAAATTTGACCTCGGACTTACAAATATTGGTCTACCTTTGTTCAACACTTTAAACAGAGTGTGCATGCGTGTGTGTGAGTAAACAGTTGTAAAACATTTCTTAACGACTGCATAAGAAGATATGGACAGTCGAGAATTTTGACCAAGTATTAATTAGTGATACATATCCATTTTTTATTTATTAATAAGGAGTTCCTATGCATCAGCTAACATCACGCCTTCATGTCTGTCCTAACTGTTAGTATCTAGAATTTTATGACTAGACGTATTTTCAAAATTAGGGGGTTTAGGAATAGAGTTTAGTAGAAGCACCCTGTCGGACTTATTGATTTGTATTGTTTCTGGAGATTGAGCTACTTTATTCGACCTACTGGAGTTGTCAGGTGACTCGACAGCTACGGATTTAGGATATGCATTCTGTTGCAGCCAACGGAGAGTGAAAACACGATGATTGTTCCAATTACACAGTTTCTTTGTTAATTTAATTCGATTGCAAAATAATTCAAATGAACTGTCGTCAAGATTTGACAGAATAGTTCTAAAATATTTGGGCGCCGAGTGAGAAGTAGACATTTGTAAAAAATTATATTTGTAAAATCTCAGAGAGATTGAAATGAGTAATTCCAACGTTTCGTTCGGCAATCTGGTCCGACTGTCCATATCTTCTAATGGAAACGTTAAGAAATGTTTTGCAACTGTTTACCCACACACGCATGCACACTCTGTTTAAAGTGTTGAACAAAGGTAGACCAATATTTGTATGTCCAAGGTCAAATTTTGATCACAGCTCATAAAATTTTGTTTATTATACTTGTTGATACTTGTTGAATGACTCATGATTGGACAAAGTTTTTAAAAACAAGTGATGTTTCCTTTTATATATAAACCTCTGTTATGTTAATTTCGATTAATTTCCCTGAAGAAGTTCGGACCAGATTGCCGAACGAAACGTTGGAATTACTCATTTCAATCTCGCTGAGATTTTACAAATATAATTTTTTACAAGCAGATAAACATAGTAGGATAATACTAACAAATATTTTCAGAAACAAAAAGAGTTAGAAGAGAGTGGTGACGATTAGGAGTAGTGGCGATTAAAAATGTTTATAACTGAACAACTTAGGAAAACAGATAAGAGTAATTATCCGCTTTGGTTTACAAAGATTTGAATGGCTACGAGTCTCATCACGAGTTGACATCAGTCAGAGAACCAGTGGGAAATCACTAGGGAGTAATGGACAGGTAGCTGTTCCATCCTAGTGCTTGGGACTCTCTAGCAGTACGCACTCACCGCCGGAGTTCGGACCCAGGACCTTCCATTATATCACAATGGATGGTTACCAGTCAATCAACATCCATGCAGTCAGTTTGACGGTAAGAAACTTCAGTCATACAGTTAAAAATCAATCTCAGTAGTGGGAAGAATATACACATGTAGCTAGCTCATCACTATCTCAACTGGAATATCACATAACAAGATGATTTCGAGCGAGCAATTGTTTTCGATAAATTCTTCTTTAGGCTCTACTGATACAGTAGACCAAAGATGGCCACATCAATATGTGTATACAAGCTCAACTGCTCATGTGTAGGTCGAATTCAGAGAGATTTATCTTTACGAACTCGTAAACATGTTCCTGTTTGACTTGAGAAAAGTGTAACCAAATCAATAAATAGTGCCATTTTATCTCATCTAGTAGATAGTGAACACCACGCCTAAATAGCACACGACTACATCTCCTAGCTATAGAGATTAACAAGAAAAAAACCTGACCTTTGTGTGAAAAAGAAGCGCATTCATCCTGTTTGTTTACCCTGGCCTACTGTACTGTAAGGTTGGCAGGGAGATAAACATCCATATTTTCATGTCATATTATGCCTTTCTTATTCCTTTTCACCTAGTTTACTTTACTCCACTATCACCTTTATTATGTGTCAACCTTGTGTAATTTACACGAAGCTTATTGATGTCTCTGGTATTTGATTACAGTTCCCAATTTAACCTCTTTATTTTATCACTACACTTGATATATCTGTCAGCCCTTCCTTCAAGTTACATTCAGTGTTCTCCATTTCCTGCTGTTTGTTTGTATGCATTTTGTGGTAATCATTTTCTTCGCACACCAGTGAACATAACTCACCCCCCCACACACACACAACCCAATGGAACTTATATTCTGTTGACTATAAATAAATTACTATGCCACTCATTTGTCTATTCACATTTTATCTTATGTTTTGAATGACTGCACACCTTTTATATCGGATACAGAGGGCTAGTTTCGCATATGCCAGTATACACCGTTTCTGGCTATCGACCAAAGGGCGTGCGTACTGCTCATCAGTCCGTTCCGTCCTCTTTTAGGGCTGTGGGACCTGGCCTTTGAGAGTGGAGGACATGAAAACGCCAGCTAGGTGTCTTTGATCGTAGGTGTCTGCGTTCTACCTCCCGTGTTAAGTGGTTTAATAGGGTGAGCAATATCGAGATAAGGCATTGGTCGAGTGCTGGGTAAGGAGGGGAAATCAACAGACAAGGCTGTGAAATTACATCGACTAATATGGTTAGGACATGTGTTACGCATGCCTGGTCATCGCCTTCTTCGACGGGCAATGTTGGCTGATATAGGATCAGGTTGGAAAAGAACTAGTTAGTGGTGGTCAAACCAAAACATGGCTTCATAACTCAGTGAAATCCACAACAATTAGTTTAAGCCAGCCACGTAGGAAGGTGTAGACTTCCTGACTGGTTGGGGTCCCCGGGACGGTAAAAACCAATGACTGGAGACGATCGGTGATATGGCTCAAAATCGCAGATGCATCCACTCCTTGTGACTTATAATATCCAGTAAAACTATATTGTTCTTCGTTATTACTATTCCTTTTGTCTCATATCCCTGTCTGCTGTTTCCACTATGCATTTCTTCTACTTTCTTCTCTTGCTTTGTGTGTTGAGTGAAGTGTGGCGACCTGAACTGCTGCACATCTTTGCAAAGTTCTATGTTGAAAACAGACACGCAGACAAACACTTTTTATGTACATTCATTTGACAATATTAACTAACGAAACCCCGATACAGTGTCTTATATAATTTTCACATGTCTTTAATGGTTATCTGTATTATAATATTCATGGATTTAGAACTGTATAGAGCTTGAAGAATTTATCGAAAACAATTGTTCGCTCACAAAATCATCTTGTTACATCATATTCAAGTATTAGATGGCAGAGATTTGATTTGATTTGATTGGCTACAAGATTTCATCATGAACTGACATTGGTTAGAGAACTGTTGCAAAACCAGCACCGGAGTACTGGACAACTGTTTTATCCTAGTGTCTAGGGCACTTTGACAGTACACACCCACTGCCAGGGTTAGAACCTAGGACCCTCCGGTTACAAGGAAAGTGAGCTGATAGACCATTAAGCTACTGTAACATCATATTCCTATGCTTACATTACGACTTTGTTCTCTTCCACAATATGATGTTCTATGTGAATTTTGTTAAATCAGCTTCATTTTTCTTTAGATTTTCACTTGATATATTTGATATGAGGTTTGATAATTTCAATAGTTAGGATGCTGTATTGATAATATCTGTCGTTTAGAGTGTGGGTCATTGGTTTAGTGGCAGATTGCTCACCAACCACGCCTCATGTGGTTCGGGGTTCGACCTCCGGCCACAGACGCACTCCTTTCTTCACTACACTAAGCCGGTACCAAGACCGGTGAATAGGAAACCCAATTCCGTAAAAAAAACACTGCTATTGAAACTTAAAAGCTCCAACCTGGAAGCTCTCCTATGTTCCATTCGGAATGTAAAAAGGAATAAAATAGTAAATAAATAATAATGGGATGCAGCAGGTCGGCTGTGAGGACAAATACTCGCCGAAGACATTGGCTAGTGGTCGCAAAAGTTAGAATTCATGGGTTGGCCATTGGATCGGGTCCCAGTGGCTTAATGGTCTACGAGCTCGCGTTGTAACCAGAAGGTCCTGGGTTCGAACCCCGGTGGGTGCGTACTGTGGTGCGGAAGAGTTCCAAATTAGGACGAAACAGCTGTCCAGTCCTCCCTGGTTGGATTACCAATGGTTCTCTAACCAATGTCAGCATCTCATGATGAAAATAATAATAAATAATCATTTAGAGTAAAGTTAAAGTGTGACGAAAATAACTAACCGATACATCTGTCATCTGTATGAACAACATGTAAGTTTTATTGTAACAGAAATTTTCTGAACAATTTTATTGCTTAACCAGGTATATAGAATGCAATCGTCATAATCGAAGAAAGAAAAGAAAACATACGAACAACTCACTTGATTGAACATTTTCAATTTTCACAAATTCATTATTCAATGTAGTTTCCTTTACACCATTAATAATATCATCAATTTCATTGATTAATTTAGCTTCTTCTCTATTCCAATCATTAGAATTATTATTTCGACATCTTTCTTGTGGATTACTATTTCGGTGTACATCAGTATATTCAATATTCCATTTAACACCACGATGCATTTCCCAGCATAATTCTTCAATACCACCATAGATAAGCTAAATAAAAGTTAGGTTAAATTATGAGAAAGTAATAACAAGCATTAATCATTAACAATATAAAGAATTCGAATGATGAGATTACTTCCTTCACTCTTACCTAATCAGGCAGCCACTACTACAACTACAGGCGCACTGAACGGATGAAGATGTCAAAGCAGGCCAGAATCAGAATGACAAGACAAACTTTCATCAATTTGAAATTAGTTCGGAAATCTTCTGCTTCACTCCGCCTCAGCATAAAGAAGAAGGAGATTCGGATTCTATTCAACACCAATGTTAAGTCAGTCAGTCAGTCAGTCACTGCTTCTCGATGGGTCGGAATTTTGGCCAGCGCGCGTCACGCAAAGCATCTCCAACAGGCTATTGCAGACTATTAACAATAGCTGCTCCTTTCGCTGGCCCCACATAAAAGGTTGAATGGCCAGAAAGAATCAATAACAAGAAAATATGGGGAAAAAAAGCGAGTCAAGAAGCTATCGTCCGACAAATTATGTAGGAGAAAATGGAGATGGATTGGGCACACACTACTGAAGAGACCGTCGAATGATATCGTGCCTAATGCATGCCACCAATTGAGTGGGACCCGAATGGGAAACAACGAGTTTCGTGGTGGTCCGGTGATGACATGGAGGAGATCAGAGATTGTGGGTGGTAGTGGGACCCGCTAATGAGGACCGCAGGAAATAGGACAAAATGGAGAGGTGATGCTGAAGCGATATCTTCCAATCGGAACACCCAAGGGAACAATAATAATGTAATGTGAAGAGTTGAAATATCATAGTAAAATTTGTACACAAATTAGGAAATATCCAGAACAAGTAAGTTTATTAAAAAAAAGTGTTCAGTAGACCTTTTCAACTCCAAGCAGTTGTCGATGGGACACACACCTGTTATGTGACGGTCAGTTATGCCATTTGGATGGCGAAATCACGGTAGATGGGGTAAGTTTTGCACCTGTAACCCAGTGGTTGGAAGTAAAGTGCCTACACTGTTGGGCCGCTATTTCTGACCAGTAAGTAGGAAGATGAAAAGATTGGAAAAAAAGAATACTTTCACTTTACATATGAAGAAGTCTGAACCAGTTTCCTGAAAAAAAAACATTGGAATTATTTATTTTAATTTTCAGCAGTTTTTACGTATGAAGATGTTTTTGATATGATGATAGAATACGGATGTACAATAAATCGATTTAACATAAAATGGATACTAGGCTGATGATTAGTAATCAACGAAATGAACCTAGTTTTGTAACCGAACGCATTTACATAAACTGGATAGTGAAACTATAAGAAAACTTCCTACGCCTTTACAGGCGAACTAGTCCCGAAATCGAAACTCAGAGGTACTGATTAAAGGTTGAGCGCCTACAATATCAGTAGTAATTAATAATAATAATAATAATAATAATAATAATAATAATAATAAAAGCCTTATTTCAAGAAGCATATGTAAAAAAGACAAAAATAGTTACACAATACATCCTTCAAAGATAATGAAAATGCATACATATTGTCTATGGAGACAGTACTGAACATGTACACACAATGCACTATTATTATTTCAATGTTCATAAAGTTAGGTGTGTAAAATACTTCGCTGCAATATATTTTTTTTTCCACTCTTTAACCCTTCAAGTGTAACATAGGTTTCTAAGCTTTCAAAGTTACAGTAGCCGTGTTGTTTTTACGGCGTGAATTTGCTAGCCTCACTTCTTTCCCTCTTCCACCTTTACTACTCCAACTATAGGCTGGTAAGCTAGGAGAAGTTTAGGAGTAAGTCAGCCAGGAATCGAACCCGGACCACTTGAGTGGTTGACAAGCATCTTATCGTTGAACTTCTCTGAATCAATAAGCCAGTTTTAGTTTGCAGGGATTTGATGACATCAGCTACTGGTGGCGCCACATAATGAATTTGCAGAAGTTGGAATTCATGGGCCCCTGAATCGGGTCCCAATGGCTAAATGGTCTTTGAGCTCACCTTGTAACCGGAAGGTTCTGGGTTCAAACCCCTACGATGGCTGCGTACTTCTGAAGAATCCCAAGCACTTGCACGAGACAGCTGTACAATACTCCAGTGCAGGTTTTCCAATGGTTCTCTAACCGATATCGCCTCATGGTGAAATCCTGTAACCAAACTAGAAGTTAGTTATTGGTTGAGGATTAACGGTTACTTCGTTGAAGTCTGATCTACATCGACCGAGAACAGAGTGATTCTCTTATTTCCTAGATGGATGTACTTTTTATTCTATTCTCACTAGAATATATTGTTTTTCATCTCAGGTTTTCTACTCTAATTGATTCTTCCTCTTTGTATTAAAGCTGTGTGTGTGTGTATGACAAAGGGAATCGGTACATTTTCACGTCACGTTTCGCATCATTAAATCACTGTGTGTAACTAATAAACATTATTATTTCTTATATTAGTACTTGCCTTTTAGCGACGGAAACTGCAACCAGGAAACCATTTTGTAACTTATAATTGATTCATTTAGGGTGTACACAGTTGAAGAGACACTCCACGAAATCAAACGAGCTCATATTATCCTACATATATGTTCATTCCTTCCTTCTTTCTTACTTTCGTGAACTGATACCATCTCGGAAATTCGTTATGATATTTTTAGTGTACCAATGTTAGCATCACAATGAGATGTACCTTAATAACTATGAGTTTAAATTAGTAGAATGACCTTTATGTAATCTTGACTAGTGGGAAGAACAGTGTTAATGTAGAAAGTGTTTTAATATGGGAGTTGTGTATGTGTGTGTGTGTGAATGAGTGTATTAAGAGTTTTTTGAGATTTTGGATACATGAGATGAATAGATGAATAGGACATTGCAAGAGTACATTTCTACCAGAGAAAAAGGGAATTGTGAAACTAACACCATGGTAACAAGAAAGAAAACACATTAAATAAACGAAGCATTTTTATGTTGAAGAAAAAACTTGTTTATTTGCTGCTCATTCTTATGCGTGTGTGCGCGCTTTGTGTATGTGTATGTGAGAAGAACAAAAGTGTACATGCAGACAAGATAGTGTATTGTTGAATACTGTATCCAGTGTTGAGCAGCAGTTTTGTTAATGTTACATATTTGTTTTGAGCTGGATTGTTAAATAGTGGTGTTTTTAGTATTACTATTTCCTATAGTTTGGTTGGTAAGGGTTAGTTTTGTTTTTACGAGTTGATCTCGGATTGATATCAGTTAGAGAACCAGCCACAGAGAGTACTGGACAGTTGTTTTATCCTGGGTTTGGGAATCATCGACAGTAAGCACCCACTGGGGTTCGAACTCAGACTGAGTGGTATACGAGCTTGCCTTGTGATCGGAAGGTCGTGTGTTCGAACCCGTTCGGGTGCGTACTACCGATGGTTCCCAAAGTAGGATGAAACAGCTGTCCAGTATTACTATTATTTGTATTTGATTCCTTTATGGTCTGAGTGAAACATAGGGGGTTTTAAGCTAGAACTTTGAAGTTTCGGTAGCAGTGGTTTTATGTTTACACGGTGAGGTTGCTAGTCTCTTTACAGGCTTAGCAGGTATATTTAGACAGCATTTAGTAACATATAATTTATTTATTTAGGGTGTACACAGTTGAAGAGAGACTCCACGAAATAAAACGACCTCATATTATCCTACAAATATGTTCGTTCTTTCTTTATGCAAACTAATGATAGGAACAGGCGGTATAAAAAGCAAGAAACATCTAGGTCCAGAATATCTTGAGGATCGCCTCCGTACACTTAATATGCCTATCATAGCATAAATTATGAAATGAATTATTGACATATAACTCGTAATGATCAGGTTAATTAAGAGAGTCGATAGAAAAGGTTACACATCACCCCAGTACACCATCTTATACTAGTTCATATAAGTCATAAGTCAGAAGAAACTCAGGCTGATAGGACTAACATAAAACATTGATAAGAAAATAGCAGGAATGTAGAATCTATTAACGGGATTGATGTCATCATTTTGTGGGGCGTAAGATAAATTACAACCTCGCCTAGATTACTAGGTCAATAGTATTCTAGCCGGTCCCAAGCCCGGATAAAGAGGGAGGGTTGGGGCGTGGTGCTAGCAACTCCACCCCCAAAACTTAACCAAATTGCTACTAAAACTTCAACGCACAAATATATTCAAAATTCTAAAATTACAAATAGTGACCTTATTTCTCGCTGGAATCGGGGAAGTGAAATGACGCGGGCTGGTGAAAGCCTTCGGGAAGCCAGTCAGCCGATGTGCCTTCTTTCGATGAAAGCGAAAATAAGGATGGGGACGTGGAATGTTCGTACAATGTACGAAGCTGGGAAGGCTGCTCAGGTAGCCGCAGAAATGAGGAGATATAAAATAGAAGTGTTGGGAATCTGCGAGAGCAGATGGAACGGATGTGGAAGGAGCCAACTATCAACTGGAGAGACAATAATCTACTCCGGTCACCCAGAGGACAATCACGAGCACACCGAGGGAGTAGCCATCATGATGTCACCAACAGCGGCTAAAGCTCTCATGCAGTGGGAACCAATCTCCTCCAGGATAATGACAGTCAGGTTCAACTCAAAAGGAAAGAAGGTTACAATCATTCAGTGCTACGCGCCTACAAACGCCTCAGAACATGAGAAGAAGGAGGATTTCTACAGTCAACTACAAACAGTAATGGACAACGTCCCAAAGAGCGATATCAAAATCCTGATGGGCGACATGAATGCGAAACTGGGAGGAGACAATACAGGAAGAGCACTCACCATGGGTCGTGAGGCCCTCGGTGAAATGAACGAAAGTGGTGAACTCTTCTCAGACTTCTGCGCCTTCAATGATTTGGTGATTGGTGGCAGTGTGTTCAAACACAGGAATATACACAAGGCAACATGGATTTCACCAGATGGACACACCGAAAACCAGATAGACTTCATTTCAATCTCAAGGAAATGGAGACGGAGCCTACTGGACACAAGATCGAGGAGAGGAGCAGATGTGGGTTCAGACCACTATCTA